GATTGGTGGAGAAAACTCGCCACATCCTCTCAATCAATCAGATACAAAACTAAGACCAATGCCAACTTGGTTACGCACGTTTCCCGCGCTTTAAGCAGGTTGCCTGTTTTTACTTGAATTCATTGATTAATGATGGTAACCTTTGGTGACCTTTGCTCTGATTGGTAGTCAACTGAAAACTGTTCAATCCATTATGAACCGTTTTTAACATGGTTAGTTTTACAAAGAAATTGCGGGCTGGAAGCAATTTTTCAAAATCTGCTTGGAGAAATCAACCGCTGTATCTCAGTTCTAATTTCCTTACCTTTCTTTTATCTTTGGAATAACAGGTAAAAGCCCGGGTTCGTCGTCAATACCTCCGGACACCAGTAGCATTCTGTGTTGTGAAGTCTGCGGGAAATACGGGCTACCTCATCAATTCTCCGCTTCTGGAAGGTTTTGCAGTCTGTCTTGTGTGGGTGTATACACAGGCCGACGAAACAAAGGAAGGGAATACGTGCGACATGCTAAAACTGTGCACGGCAAGGTCGTTAAAAGGAAGAAAAAAGATAAACCTAAAAATCAAGATTTGTCTCATGATGGGGATTTACAAAATGTGAGTATCTTCAGACCGTGTACACAAGACGAAGTTTGAGGTATATGGTCAGTTTGATGAAAATGTATTTTAAGTTTTCGGAATCGTTATGACTGGATCGGAGACTTCGTGACTCTTTCATTCTCAAGAGTGATCAAAGAGGAACTTCCCTTTACGGTATTCACTTTCGAGCAGATGGGTAACGAGAGATAAGAAACATCTCATTGAAGGATCTTGCTTGATTGAACACCAAATTAGAAGGAAATAAAAAGCAGACTGCAGTCTTGCATTAATTCCATCTTCATTAAATGTTTCGTTCCCCATCGCCTTCTCTCTCGCGTGTAGGCCTCGCGTGGCTTGGTTTGTCTAATGATAAATGGGAAGGAAAATAGACTGATGGGATGGGATGTACTTGTATGTTTGGTTAATTTCTTCCAAGTTATCTTCCATGATCTACATCTAACTCTACGCGAAAAACTTTTTCCACTGAAAGTCCACTGTCAGCAAAAAAACATTTCCGTAATCATCCAGAGTATAGTTTTGGTTGTCAGACAATTTTCTTGGAATTGTTTTTTCTTCCCTGCAAACGGTCAGTCGGGCGACGGGAAACAAACTTTGTACGGGGATGGCCAAAGTATTTCTGAGTTTCTCGAGTTGTTGCGGTTAAGGAAAGCTAGACGTTTGTTTCTGTCGATTTTAGGAGACATCTCCTACACCAGAAAATGATCAAGAAATGTTGGGAGCTCGCCGGACGTTTAAAGTGAAAAGAAAACGAATGAAAAACAAGTTAAAGTTAAAGAAGGCTTCTTTAAACACGGCAGATCTCATGAAAGGCGAAGACGGTGAGTTATAATAAGAAAATTTTGAAGTAACCGTGTTAACACGAAATGTTGGGGCATTTTATGACCTTATTAGTTCCAAGTCAATTAAATTTGAACATGTTGGTTCTTTACTCCCCCACAATGGCGGATGATAAAGCTGTGACGTCACGTGCAAACACTCTATTGTAAAAAACACTGGACCGGTTACCAGCGTGCAATTAGCCAATCGGATTCCAGGACTTACTGGACTACGCATTTCGGCCCATTGAGATGCTTCAGAAAAAATTAAGTTATTAAGTAAAAATTACGGTGCTGTCACGAGAAACCTTCCTCAATTCCAAAGGCAACGGAATCTCAAGAGCCATGCTTCACCAACCATCAAATGCCGCCTAAAGAAGTCAATAATGTTGTCACTGGAAACGCAACCGGTTTCCCGTGACAACAACACAAATTTAACATCAACACGCTTTACTTAATTTAAAATCGTAGTATTTTCCTGTCCGGCCTGACCAAACTCAGTCATTGGGCATTTTATCAAATAAACTCAGCCATTTTGATCTATTTAGTAAGGTACTTAATATGAATACGTGATTCTGCGCAGAGAACCTGGTGATAAGGTCAGAACCTTTCCCGCAACGAAGCACACCGCCTCCGCTATTCCTACCTGCTGATGTCAACGAAGATAAGAAGCCTTCTGTCGATGGTAGTGGTGACTTGAATGACTCTGTTACTGAACAACCAGTTGCCAATGACAACAATAACGGTACGAAGAAGACCGAGGTGAAAGCTGAGGATGGTGTTAACGATCCATTTGGAGCTTTAGACTGGAAAGACGGAATTGCCACTTTACCGGGTAGGGTGATGTGGCGTTAAGGTGCTGTAGTTACGCTATTGACACGAGTAAACTCGGAAAAATCTAAATACCGCGTGGTCCTAACAGGAGGACACACGAGGTTCTCGGCAAGAACGCAACAATTGCCAGTAGAGGGGATTTTAGTAAAACGTTGTTTCTCCAGACACCTCTCGACCCCCGTGTCTTGTAGTTGGCCATCTCTGCTTTACTTACATAATTGTCCCTGTGGTATTTTTAGGAAGCAACCTGAAGTTCAAGCTGACTGAGTTTGGAACTCTGGAGATCGTCAGCACCATAGAAACAGACAAAGGTGAATACGAGTGGAGTACACCCACACAACACCGAAAAACTAGCACAGATGAGAGAGAAAACAACAAAAAGACTAAGAAAAACAAAGGTAACGAGATGAAAACTGCATTTCATTATGAAAGGATTTTTTTAATTGAGTTTCCAGAGTGATCCTGGATCTAGTCACTTTCCTCTGTGATTGGTGGAGAAAACTCGCCACATCCTCTCAATCAATCAGATACAAAACTAAGACCAATGCCAACTTGGTTACGCACGTTTCCCGCGCTTTAAGCAGGTTGCCTGTTTTTACTTGAATTCATTGATTAATGATGGTAACCTTTGGTGACCTTTGCTCTGATTGGTAGTCAACTGAAAACTGTTCAATCCATTATGAACCGTTTTTAACATGGTTAGTTTTACAAAGAAATTGCGGGCTGGAAGCAATTTTTCAAAATCTGCTTGGAGAAATCAACCGCTGTATCTCAGTTCTAATTTCCTTACCTTTCTTTTATCTTTGGAATAACAGGTAAAAGCCCGGGTTCGTCGTCAATACCTCCGGACACCAGTAGCATTCTGTGTTGTGAAGTCTGCGGGAAATACGGGCTACCTCATCAATTCTCCGCTTCTGGAAGGTTTTGCAGTCTGTCTTGTGTGGGTGTATACACAGGCCGACGAAACAAAGGAAGGGAATACGTGCGACATGCTAAAACTGTGCACGGCAAGGTCGTTAAAAGGAAGAAAAAAGATAAACCTAAAAATCAAGATTTGTCTCATGATGGGGATTTACAAAATGTGAGTATCTTCAGACCGTGTACACAAGACGAAGTTTGAGGTATATGGTCAGTTTGATGAAAATGTATTTTAAGTTTTCGGAATCGTTATGACTGGATCGGAGACTTCGTGACTCTTTCATTCTCAAGAGTGATCAAAGAGGAACTTCCCTTTACGGTATTCACTTTCGAGCAGATGGGTAACGAGAGATAAGAAACATCTCATTGAAGGATCTTGCTTGATTGAACACCAAATTAGAAGGAAATAAAAAGCAGACTGCAGTCTTGCATTAATTCCATCTTCATTAAATGTTTCGTTCCCCATCGCCTTCTCTCTCGCGTGTAGGCCTCGCGTGGCTTGGTTTGTCTAATGATAAATGGGAAGGAAAATAGACTGATGGGATGGGATGTACTTGTATGTTTGGTTAATTTCTTCCAAGTTATCTTCCATGATCTACATCTAACTCTACGCGAAAAACTTTTTCCACTGAAAGTCCACTGTCAGCAAAAAAACATTTCCGTAATCATCCAGAGTATAGTTTTGGTTGTCAGACAATTTTCTTGGAATTGTTTTTTCTTCCCTGCAAACGGTCAGTCGGGCGACGGGAAACAAACTTTGTACGGGGATGGCCAAAGTATTTCTGAGTTTCTCGAGTTGTTGCGGTTAAGGAAAGCTAGACGTTTGTTTCTGTCGATTTTAGGAGACATCTCCTACACCAGAAAATGATCAAGAAATGTTGGGAGCTCGCCGGACGTTTAAAGTGAAAAGAAAACGAATGAAAAACAAGTTAAAGTTAAAGAAGGCTTCTTTAAACACGGCAGATCTCATGAAAGGCGAAGACGGTGAGTTATAATAAGAAAATTTTGAAGTAACCGTGTTAACACGAAATGTTGGGGCATTTTATGACCGTATTAGTTCCAAGTCAATTAAATTTGAACTTCTCTTTGCTGCTTTTGCTTTTGTTCTTTTACACTCTTCTCTATTGAAATGCCGATGAATCTGTTAAATAAGATAATCGTCCAACCAAACACTCTAAGATATTGTTGCTGTTGTTTTTCAGTTCCTTATGACTCAACCAAACCTTTTGTATGGGCAGATTATCTAGCAGCTTGTGGTTCAAAACCTGTTCCAACTAGCGTATTTATTCAGGTTGGTGTCAATACTTTTTTTCACATGAAGTGTACTCGGCCAAATTGATGAAGCCAGACATTGTTGGTGTGACATATTGAACTTTATTTTTATTTAGACACGATAAATCTATCAGAGAAAATAATAATATTATTACAATCTATCATAATGCGTGAGCGAAACATTTTTTAACACAAACGATTAATTTTCAATTAAACCAAAACTAAAGTTATCCCAATTGGCCATCAGAAGAAGGGGGTATAAAATAAAGAGCTAATAGGAAGTACAAGGAAAAACAACCACACTGGCCAAAGGGCGGGAAAATTTGAATGACTTGTCTTGTTTGGTTGTTATTTTGCATCTGATTACTTGAGAAAGAAGATAGTTTCTGAGTTAATTGCAGAGCAAAGTTAAACAAAATACTTGCCATCCCAAATTACTTTCGGCACTCTTTTGGAAATTTCTCTGGAGAACCCCGAAGAAACTGAGGGCTGTCTAGTGGTAACCCTTTGACTGGTACTTGTTACCTTCTTTGCGTTTTCACAGGAAAATCCGTTTATCGATCTTGAAAACGAAACGTCTTGCGGATTCGAACAGGACATGAAACTGGAAGCGATTGATCCAAAGCACCCGTCGTACATTTGTGTTTGTACCATAGTCAGGGTAAAGGGCACGCGATTGAGGCTTCACTTTGACGGTTGGTCAGAGAGTTATGATTTCTGGAGCAGCGCCGACTCACCTTTCATTTTCCCTATTGGCTGGTGTGAGAAGAACGGTCAGAAACTTCATCCTCCCCGAAGTAAGTGGAGGATTTAAATTACTTCCGTTGTTTGAGCTGTCCTTTCTTTTCTCTCAAGAAAACAAACTGACATTTTAGGTAGTTATTTGTAGTTCGTAGACTTGCTTCTCACTACTAATACACAACAGTTTTCGTCACTTGTTTCCGCTGAAATAAAGTTACTACTGAACTGAAAGATATACGAATATAGTTTATATCTGACCACTTGCAGCCCAGAGGCTGAATTACGGGCGCAGTGTAAGGTTGAGAACAGACGTCAGCATATCAGGCGCCTCTGGCAGCCGCTTCAGTCTATCGATCTCACCTTCCCACCCATCCCACCACAGGGGAGG